AGTTCTTGGTCCACGTACTGCTGAAGCCTGCCTTGTAGGATTTTGAGCATAACCTTGCTAGCGTGTGAAATGAGTGCAATTGTATGGTAGTTGGAGCATTCTTTGGCACTTCTCTTCTTTGGGATTGGTATGTAGACTGGTCTTTTCCAATCCTCTGGCCACTGCTGAGTTTTCCATTGATGATGGTAAAAAAGCACACTGGTCCTTTGATATTGGGCTGTGGCACCAGGGCACCAGGACATGACCTTTAGCCTGGTTTGTTCCTTTTTGCACACCACACATAGAATGATTAAAGTGGTAGGGAACCCACCCACCCCAATTCTGTGTTGCCTGTCTCTAGCAAGCATGTCATTGCTAGAACCACTTTGGCAGCCACCTCTGCTAGCTAGCAAAAATTTAATGCACATTGCTAAGCACGTTGGACACCTTACTACTCCCTATACCACACCATGGCTGGAGTGCAATGCGTTCCAGCAAAAATAGTGCACATCTTTATCAAATTTGGTGCATCCTGCTAGTTCGGTACACAGCTTGTGTAGATTCAATAATATTTTAAATTCAAATAATGTATGATTTCCTTCCTTTCGAATCAAGGGGGTAATGTTGGCATATATAAATTTTTTGCGGGGTAAAAGGTAAAAAAGTTCCCTGACCCCTGCTCTAAAGCATTCCAAACTAGTTTTTCAGGATATACAGGACTATTGTCCTCTGCATTTTCTTGTCCCTGCTGATACATATCTCACAGCTTTTCTGTCCAATTTCAGCCATACTTTCTGCTTAAAATTATCTTTGCTTTCAGCTTACATAGCATGTTTTCAGGTCCTAGGGCACTCTAATTGTACAGAGTTTGAAAACTATTTACAAGAAAGTTGCTGTAGGAGTAGCAAGATTAACTTTGAGCTCCTGACAGTTGTATGTTTTCATATGACCTGTTTTGGAAATGTGAACTTCCTTCCTTTCCCCTCACCTGTTATATATTCTGATGAACAAGGAAACAGTATTTGTGTTTGACTATTTAAAAAATACTGTTTCATTAATAAAATTAGTAGTGTCTAGAAGTTGAGTCATGGCAACTGGACTTCTTTCGTATTAGATTGAAATGTTTCACTACTCATCCAAGTAGCTTCTTCAGTCTGTTGAATAGTAAAATGACTTGGGTGAGTAGCGAAATGTTTCAACCTTTGAATAGTAAAATGACTTTTGCTGATAAGAAAGAAGTCCAGTTGCCATGACTCAACATCCAGATAACCTCACCTGGATGACTGAAAATCTTCACAGAAAAATTAGTAGTGCTGTGAAAACTTGCGGGAGTAGGGGGGCATAGCTTGTTGCAAAGCAGGAGCAGAAGATCGTGGTGGCTTTCTAGGTATGCCCTTATGTGGTGTGCAGCTGGTACTTTTGATGATCAACAGGCTGCAGACCAACCATTTTAATCATTCTTTTTAAGGTGACTCAGACGATGCAGCTCCCAGTAGTTCGAGTGTCCTTTCTTCTACACCACCTTCTGTGTCTCCTGGAATGAAGGAAACTTCCCCCACCCCACCTTCCTCACCGTCTGTCACAGGCAGTTTTGTTTCCTACAGGTAAAGCATTTTCTGCCTTTTCTTTAACTTGTATTTCCAAACATAGAAGAATTGAAAGTTGTTTATGCATCTACCCCATGTCATTTGCCTATCGCAGGTTTAGACATTAGTTAGGAAACCCTTCTAAACTTCTAAATGCATTTACAAGACAGACTCTGTTTTGTATTGTTTAATTGCAAGATAATATTGTGGAATGTTTTTGATACAAGCCAATGCCAGCAGAACTTAAATTGGTTGGTTGTACAGGTAAGATAGTCTCAGAACACAGAACGCTTTCCCCTTTTCTCCCTCTCCCTGTCTCTATTCAGGCATTATACTATGTGGCACTGTGAACAGGGTTACAGGGGAATGCCCCCCACCCACCCAGCTCTGTTGTCATGTTCTTCACTGTTTTAGTTCCAGATTGGAAGAATACTCCTGCTCACATGTAGACTCTACATATGGGCAAGAAGCCATATTTTCCAGAGCTCTTTCTTGAGTGTAAGCAGGGAACAGCTCCTCTTCAGTCTTGTCACTGGAAGTGTGAAGTATCCAGTGGTGGATTCTGAGCCAGGTAGTATAACCCCTGAATAGAGCTTCTCCCTTTGCCCCCCTTCCTCTCTTCCCCCCAAACCTTATGTGTGTGTGCATAGGAACCATTTTATCCTTGAAGCTCTTGTTTCACAACCATGTGCTGTTTGATCTTTTAAAAAAGTACCTTTCACAGTAATTAGAATAAGCTTTGATAAACCAGTGCGGTGCAGTGAAAATTATATTGAATACAAGGCTAAATGACTGCTACAACTTTTAAAGATTTATTTACTTAGTTGTTGTATCTCGCCTCTTCTCCAGCTCAAGGCAGAGCACATGACTCTTCTCCTCCCCACTTAAAATCACCTTGTGAGGTAGATCAAGCTGAGGGAGTGAGATTAACCTCAATTCAGCTACTGAGTTTCGTAGTCAAAGGGGGAATTTGAATCTGGCTCTTCCAAGTCCCAGTCTCGCATTCTAGCCAGTATATCACACTGGCTCTTCTTTTGTCAGGTTCTTGTAAGTCTTCACAGTTGGATCTAATTAAAAATAAGGAGCAGCCACTGTGTTGATAATTCTTCCAAAGGAGCAACTCACTTGTTTATGGATAGTAGAAAGAGCAAATTATTTGAATTTGAAATTATTTTTAAGACTTATGAATGAAAAAATAGTAACTTCTAATAGTTTAAGAAAATTGTGATGATCTGTCTGATGATAAGTCAGCCCACGGGTGTTTCTTTAAAACATTGAAAGAGAAAAATAGCCTATGAGAATTGTCCCCGGGAGCAGGGGAGGGAACGAGTTGACCTAGAGCACTGGTTCTTAACCTTGGGTTACTCAGGAGTTTTGGTCTTCAACTCCCAGAAGCCTTCACCACCAACTGTGCTGGCTGGGGTTTCTGGGAGTTGCAGTTCAAGGTCCCCGGGAGCAGGGGAAGCGTGACCTAGAGACTGCCTGCAGTCACCAAGACCTGCATTCTTTTTAAAGCAGAAAAATAACAGGTGCTCTTTTATCTCACTGCATTTTTGAGCACCTGAAATAGCCTACTCTCTAAACACTTTTTGGAAAAGGGGGTGGGCATGGCTCTCAGAGGTCCGGGAAGTGGGGGCTGATGCAGCCCCTGGATCCCCTGCCCTTTGGTACTTCTACCCTAGAGTTAAATGGTACCATCTACCCAAAGTTGAACAGTGGGAGGGGTGGCAATTAAAGATTAAGTTGAAAGGTTTTTGTATAGAGTATGATTTTTAAAAAAATGCAAATAGTATATTTCTTGGAATTACAAGCACAGAGGAGGAATCTTAATCTTTTACTTCCTAGCATTAGTCCTAAGAAATGTTTTTCCTCTGAACTTGCTATTTGTGCTGAAAGGAGATCTCCGTGGGCATCTGTGCGGGGAATCATATTCCCTATAGCAGACAACAGTTTTAATGACATAAAGTGAGGTACCTGGAGCAGGGTTTTTTTAAAGAGCATAAGAGCTGAATAGTGCTTTAAGTGTTATGCAAATTACTGTTTGTGAAATCAATAAGAAATTGTAATTTTTGGGGCACAGAGAACAGAGATTTCTTTGTACAAGCTATTTCTCTCGTAGTAAAGACACTTTGCCCCCCACTGAAGACTGCAAACTGTAGTTCTCTCCTTGGTAGTGCTATCTAGAGAAAAGTACTGTTGGCAGGATTGTTAAGAGCGTTAATTGAAATGCAAGCACTAGCACAAGCAGAGCAATAAAGCATAATGGCTTACATTATTTCAAACAAGAGCAACAAAAGAACAATCTGGATATGCCCTGTTGAGCCTCCAGATGTATTGGATTGGTAGATACCTTTGACCTTCTGCAGTGGCTACTTTTCACCTAACCTCTTTCCCTGCTGGACTTTTTTTCATATTGGGCTTGTGAGAGGTTTCCCTCCCTTCCCCTGCATAGACATTTGTATGTATTTCTTTGTGTGCTATTTGAAAATGTTTTGTTTTTCTAGAATACCCTTTTTTTACATTGACCAAAATGTGCTTATCTGCGTTTTCAATTGTATGTATTTTTTTCCCTATATATACATGGTTTTCTGCACGTTTTTCACCCTGAAAACACATTATAATGTAGCAAGTGTAGAGTTTTTTCAATCTGGATAGATTTTATTCCATAGTAGTCTCAGATGGTATAACATTGTATTTGTGAAGGGACATGTGAATCTAATTTGTTTGCTTTTGCTTGTGTAGTGACTAGTCCCATGTGGTGAGCACATGCCTCCTTCTGATGGATGTGGTGTCCAAGGTGTTTTTCTCAGTCCTCAGTCTCCTCCTGCCCCCATCCTAAAGAGACAGATTCTAGGAGTGGCATTTCACATTGTAAGAAGTTGCAGCCCCCCTATTTTGACTCTTAAAAATACTTTTTATCAAACTGGAAATGGTTTTCTACTACTTGGAGTTTGTTTTCTGTGGTTTTTGTTTGGAATTTTTGTGGTTGGCACAGCTCTTAGCATGTCTTGATGAAAAAGATGGCCCCAGTGTTTGTCCATTGCTGCTTAAATTGTTCCTTTCCAGCTGGTTTTTTTTGCTTGTGAGCCTTTGTGGTAAATGAAGCTCAAGACAAGTAGGGATGCAGGTGCATTTAAATAAAGATATTTCAAAGAGAGAGCTTTGATGGGAAAAGGGATGTGGTCTTCCCTCTCACAGAAATGTCTTTTAACTTTCATCTAATAACTTTATAAGGAGTTAGTGGGGTTCAGATGTCTTTCTTGTGTGTCATCTAGCTGATACACATTTTCAGAGACTGTAGACATTAAATATGTAGACATCCTATCATGTTATTTAAAACTGCTGCAGTTGAAATGAATAGTTGAAAATACATGCTTTAACTGCATGCTGTTTCTTATGTTCTTTTGAAGGCAGAGGTGTACCTGCAAATTGCATCCAAGTTTGAAGAAGCCTAAAACTCTGCTGTTTTGCCTATGTGACATACATCAACCTCAAAGAAAAGATGTATGTGGCAAAATATGGTTGAAGGAGCTCTAAGCCTAAGTTGTAATTCAAGTTTCTAGTTACAGTGCTTATTTGTGCACCTCTATTATTGGATAGTAAACATGAGAAATCCTGTGCATGTATATGTGCAGTAAATACTCTTGAAAGGTAGACCATAGTAGGTAAACAAGTTCTTCTTTGTGATCCATGTAACTCACACTAATGGATCCTGCACCTGTGCAGAGAAACATTCAGAACCTTCTGGAGCTGAGCTGAAGGGGGGAGCCCACCCACACCCTCCACTGTGCATGTCAAAGTGTTACTAAGGTAAAGTTGCTCATTTCCTTTTTGTCTGTTCTCAGAACAACACATTTCTGAGCATTCTCCATTCCTGGGCTATTCTCAACTTTATTTCTTAAAGCACACAAACACACAATGCTATGTAATTTTCAAACTGAGGAACACCTAGACTACTGTTGCCTTACAGTTTATGTGAAACAGGTGTTGATTGATATATTTGGTCTTGGTCCTGTTCCTTCTTGGAATATCCCAGATATTTTTTCTGACTGGGTTATGTCAGAACACTCTGGCATTACCTGCCAACCAGATTTCCCTCATCTCAGAGAATCCTGCCATTTTACACTTCCTGAAAAACATATGGCAGTTTCAAGGGAGCCTATGTCATGACCATCATCACCACCTAAACTACTAGCTCATAATATAGAGCATTCAGTATTGGATAGGAAAGTGGATTCGATAATTTTGAGTGACAATATCCCTGAATCTCCATCATCAGTAATATGATCCCCAGATTTGCTTGGGTACTCTGATGTGTCCTTCAGGTGATCACTTTCCATGTACTGAGTCAGATGGTAAATTTGTTCAGCATTGATGTTAAAAGTGTCCACCTTTCGTTGATAACCCTGTGTTTAGTAGGATTCACCAGCCTGTTTATGCACCAGCACCCTGCTTTGGATCTTGACATCACTAGTTCAGCAGTCATTGGCAAAGCCTTCTTCTATCTCCCCATCTGCTCATTATATGAAAAACTGCTACTGTGTGCAAGAGGAGGGAAGAGCCTTCCTTTTCCAACATCCATGGCCATTGTTGAAGCTTTGCAGTCAAAAGGGAAGCGGAGGTCATTTTCTTGATGTTATTGATAGATGACAGTATTCTTCTGCTGCCTTGGCCATCAGGATAGGAAGTTATCAGGCAGCCATGGCAGTGTATCAGCTATTTTTATAAGAGAACACTTTCTTGCGTTATTTGCCATAGAGCAGTTGCACTTGTTTTTCAGACTGAAGCTCACAGACTAGTGGGATATCTAATGAATTTGGCCCAGCATATTGCTCATTACGTCTTTTGTAATCTCTTGTAGGGAAGCAGCCATTGTTGGAACTCACCCTCCCAAGCACCTTTGTAGGTCTCAGGGGATCTTGTTATTCTCACAGTGCAGTGGAGCACTTTTCTCCCTGCTCACAGAAGGAATTGTGTGTGGGAGCTGATTGCAGGTAGGGGGCTACACTATATCCTGCTACTTTGAGACTTTCACTTCCATAATGTAGCCTTTGAAGTTCCCACTGAATTATGGGGTGGAACCATTAAACATGAAGTCTCATCCCGAGGGCTTGTCCATAGCTTCAATTCCAGTATAGAACAAAACATTCCTGGAGACTGTATCTTGCTTGGGACCCTGTTCTCATCCTTCTCTCCTTTTGCATTATACGGCAGTTTGCTGCATTATCACTACCAATGATAAAGTCTGTACCATACCAGAGGGGTATGATATAGACTGACACTCCCACTTTCATAGGGGTATTTTGTAATCGATAGCATTCCCCTGTTGAGGAGGAGATTCACATTCTCACTGTCATGGATGCCATAGATCCACTTCCCTACAGATGCTTCTTCTCAAGATATTTTATGGTTCCAAAATACGACAGCTTTCACCACCCAATTCTGGATCTTCTCATGGATGCCATAGATTCACTTCCCTATAGATGCAGCCTCACTGGCTTCTTCTCAAGATACTTTATGGTTCCAAAATAAGACAGCTTTCACCACCCAATTCTGGATCTTCATACTGTGACTTAAATTCAGAATGGTCAATATCTTCAATTCTTCCTCTGCTCCAAAGAGAAGATTTTCATGTAGGGATATGGTTTTCACACAGACCCTACCTTCATTTTGCGTCAGGCTACTGACTCTTCCAATTCAAGGTCCTTCCATTTGGACCCATGATAGTTCCAAGGGTTTTCACCAGGTATATGGCACCCATGGTGGCTTTGAGAATGAGAGATATCAGCATTTTCCTTTACATCAATGACTGGCTGATCATGGCACATTCTAGAGCAAATCTCCAAGAGTAGATATCATTTATCTTACATCTTCTTCAAAGTCTTGGCTTACAAGTCAACAAGGAGAAATCAGACCTTGATTTGCTACACACCAAGGCACTCCTACCATTGGAGAAGGCCTGTAAAACACCATGAGGCCTACAGCTGCGATTTGCCAGCACTACATATCTTTTATATTTTTGGACTTATGGCTTTCGTGACCTCTGTTCTTCCTTTTGCATGGCTTAGGTAGCAACCTCTACAATACTGATTTGTGAAGATTTTCAACCTCAAGGAGCATTTCAAATCCTTAGATACTTTACCAGATGTGAGAGTGACTGACCTGGCCACTTTAACTTATGAATGAAAGATTAGTGGTCCAATGAAGAACAGTATTTGCATATAGATGTGCTGGAGCTCCTCACAGTTTTCAAAGCTCTGCAATCCTGTCCTTCATTGTAGATTAGTACAAGTAGTACAGAACAACTTGGCTGTCATGTATTACATAAACAACCAGGGAGGCACGCATTCATTTCTTCTGCTCTATCTGACTCTGGATATCTGGAACTGGTGAATCCTTCATCACATATTCCCACACATGATTCACTTTGCAAGGATGCAGAGTGCTCTAGCAGATTCTTTAAGCTTCTCTGAAGCTTTGATGCATGAGCATGAATTTCATGTCAAAGTATTCCATATACTCAAAGGAAGAGGGGTAGACATGTTTGTTTTCTCGATCAATTTGAACTGCTGGTATTCTTGTATCAGAGCAGGCTGCAGTCAGCACTTGGAAGGGTATGTATTTTTGGCTCATTGGAATGAGGATCTTATTTATCTTTCCCTCCATTTCTCATGCTATCTAGAGTTACAGTTAGGCTTCAGCATAAGACATCCTTATTCCCCCTTGGTGGCCTCTTCAGTCTTTTTGAGACTTTCAAAAAGTGACTGCAGGTTCAGTCACCTGTCAGAGCATTTGGAGCTGTTTTTCCAATGCAGGGGACAAGTGTATCATTCAGAGCTCAAGACCCTGTGGTTGACAACATGAAAAATCTAACAAGTACCTCTTTGCCACAGGATGTAACTTTGATTTTTATTTGCATTCTAGAAGCCCTTGAGTAAATCTTTCGTCTTTCAAAAGTGGATTTAATTCACCTTTGCAAGACAAAACTGTTGTCCACTTGACTCCAGTCAAGTACCTCATGCCATTTCATCATGCCTTAAAAATCATGACCTTCGTTGAATCTACTTAGCCACCATCTTGGTTTGCCATCCAGTTTCTCACCATGAACAATTGCTCTCCACGGCCCCTTTTATGAGGAAGTTTCTGAGAGGTTTAAAATATTTACTTTTGAATCTTATTCCCATGTGGTCACTCGTCTCAGCTCATGAAAAATGCTTTTGAGCCATTGTCTTCCTGTGATTAAGACAACCTTTTTGGTAGCCATAACTTCAGCTAGAAGGGCCTCCATGTTATGTGCTCCTTCCCTGAAAGTGATACACCATCTGAACACTACTTTTTGGCTAAAAGTAGTGTCCCAGTTCCATTTAAATTAGAATAATCTGGTACACCATTGGCATGTTCTCACCTTGGACATATGAAGAGCTTTAACCTACTACATTGCTGAACTTTTTTTCCAATGCTCTGTCTATTTGTGTGCTATGCTGGAAATTGCAAGGCCCATCTGGTCTCTATATGGTCCTTCGCCTGTTGAGTGATGGACTGCATTTCATTGGCATGTGAACTTGTGAAGTTACCTCCTTCATCTGGTTTGAAGAGTCAGCCCATTAGGACACATCCAAACTCGGCTACTGCTGTTTGAGGGATGGCACTTCTAGATATCTGCTGAGCAACCAAATGGTCACAGCCCTTGATGTTCATCTGTCACTACCATCTGGATATCTGTTATCAGAGTGGTCTGGTAGTCCAGATAGGCGGGGGATAAATAGGTAGGTAGGTAGGGAGGTAGGTAAACAAACAAACAAACAAACAAACAAACAAGCAACATGTTCTTTCACAAAGCAATCCTCTCCTCTGGTGTGGCCTGACACTACCTACCTCTGGTAAGGCAGTTTATCAGTTTTCCATTAGTGTGAGTCACAGAGACCATGAAGAAAAATGACGGATGTTTTGGTAGCTTCAAGTGGTCATCTGTGAACTGACACAACCACCTCTCCTCTCCTCCTGGTGTCTGGTTTATCAACTGATTTCATTGGTGCACCAGAACTAGGGGACTCTGGTTGAAGCATGTTTTAATGTACATGGTAGTGGTGGCAGGATTCCCATCTTCAGCTCAGCAGTAGAAGGTTGATACAGTACTCATTAGTGTGCGTTCACAAAAGGATCACTCCAAGAACCACCGTTATTGAAGCAACCTGTCATTTCAGTGTACCCTCTCACTTTGGTGTTGTGTCTTCTTTTTTATTATCTCAGATCTCTGGATCTGGATCTGTCACAATGTCTAAATGAACACATTTTCCTCATACCTTTCAGCCATGGGCTTGGTACAGAACTGATGGGGCTTCAGGTAGATTACTGGATTGCTCATCCTACCGAGAAGAAAAAAGACTCAGAGAAGAAGGATCTCTCTGCTGCCAAAAACACACTGAAATGCACTTTCCGGTCTCTTCAAGTCAGCCGGCTGCCTCTTAGTGGGGAAGCCATTTCCACTCCAACTATGTCCATGACGATTGTTACAAAGGAAAAGAACAAAAAAGGTGGGGAAAGGGGAAGTCTTTTAGGAAGTCTTCTTCTGCTGTCACCATCCTGGTGATTGCAGTAAAAGATTCTTGTGAAATCCAAGAGAGAACACTAAGTTTCTCTTTTTTATTGACTCTTGTGTGTGAAATACATTTAATTGCATCATAATTTCTAGCTAATTTTAGCATATCCTTGAAATCTCTGTTTTGCTAGTTTGGTGTGGGATAGTCAAACTACAGTTAACATTGGGGCCACTTATTTTTCATATGGAAACTGACAATGCTGAAATTTTAATTCTCTGTCAGAGCATAAGCTTATTAGTATTTCTGTCTAATGCCCAGTGAGTGATCCAAGGAATTCATCTTAGGCTTTTTTTTTTCTGCAATGATGATGAAAACAGCTATAGAGTGACTTCAGTGTAGTAATCCTCCTTAATGCTCATATAAATGCTTTGTTGCCAGCATTGATGGTAGTTATGCTAATACGTGTTCTTGAAAAACTAGCATTTGCAGAAAGACTAGTACAGTATTTGAAGAATCCTGATATAGTGACACAGGAATAAGAAAAGACTATGAAGTGAGGCTTCAGAAATGTAATATCAAAATAGACAAACCTGCTGTAATGTTTGCCCACACAGAGAAAAGGCCTTAGATAAATAACCTTCCAAGACAGAAGCTTAAAAGTAAAGTTTCCTATGAATGGCAGATTGCTGCGGGAGTACAATAGACTTCTGTTGATTTAATTTTTGTTATATCTGGTCATTCAGTTTGATGACTTTCAGTGGCCTAGAATTTTTTTTCTTTTTTCTTTTAGAAACCTACTCTACTTTTTGAACCCAGCAGGACACTAGAAAACTCCATATAGAACAGGATAAAATACTAAAAGACAAAACTTTTAATAGTTAAATAAGTTCAAGAAGGAGAAGGTAGTCATAGATATCCAGACCTTTAGGAATTGAGAGATAAACAGCAGCACTTTAAATTATTTTTGGAAATGAATTAGCAGCCAGCGCATTTGTTTCATATGAGATGCATTTCCTGTAGTGGGGGGATCTATCAATAACCTGTGCTCTAATGCCAACTGAAGTTTTTAAATACTTTTAGAAGGCAGGAAAAATGCATTAAAATGTTTAAACAAGATGTTAAATGAGCATGGATGATGGTTGCGGCAAGCTATTGCAAGGTTACATTATTCCTACCTGGTTAAAGGTATTTTATTGAATGGAAGCCATTTGAGTCTTCAAATATTAGGTGGAATCTGAACAACCCTCAAACTGTGATTATTCTTTAACGATCCAACTCATATGAGGCTAGCATTCTTGTCTCCCTCCTCAAAGGACTTTCCATCTATGACCAAGCAAATACGTAGTTTTACTGGCACCAGCACTGAACAACACTGTCCACTTCCCTGAACATTTTGACTACCTCCCATCCTGCTGGAAGCTCCTTGGGGTAGAGTATTTTAAGATGGTGGTACTGTGTTTGTGGACCTAGAACCCCAGACAATACCACAGTCTGTTCTCAACACCACCGGAGTGCGTAGCCATTATGCAGCAGTGGTTGCTGCCCACCTGCAACGAGGGTAGTCCAGGAATGCTATATGCTGGTGTTTTGGTAGAGCTCTTCAGCATCACCTGCATCTGATGAAACGGGGAAATGGTGCTGGGTTTGATAAGTATTCAAACATGATGACTTCACTCAGTTGCTTCACTTAGAAGCTACGTAGCATAGGAGGCAAAATGGAGTCCAGTAGCGCACCATACTGTGAAAGCCACAGAAAAAGCCATTATCAATCTTCCAGCAACACCTTCTGGAAGTGCCCATAAATATAGGAACAGATCTACCAGTGTGTGGTACCTCTGATCCCCTCTTCCCTGGCAGCCAATTTGGAATGGTCTGAGACCTGCAGAGAGGATTGAGGTAATGATTTTATCCTCTCCATGCTTAATTAGTCATAATGGGATCTGAATGCTCCTTGATATCTTCTTTCTAGCCAAATTATGAAAAGTAATTCAAACTACACCCCCCTCCAAAACCAGTTGCTGCTTTATAGCACTGGATCCCAATTGACTGTGATTGCTGACCAATTTTCAAAGCAGGTTTAGATACCAGGGCAACAAAAATAATTTTTGATTTGTTCTTTTTCAGGAAGATCTCCTGAGGCAAACACTGTACTTAATTAGCATAACCCTTGCAATTGCCTTTGGTGGACTTCTCAACCTTCTTACGGCAGAAATAGCATCATTGCCACACTGTGTGTGATAGGTGATGGGCATCAGTTGGTGTGAAAGAGAGATGGGGAACTCATCGGCCTATGGCTGAACTTGTCCACCAGGTCTTTCCACACAGCCTACTAAGACCTAAGGCAAGGCCACTCCCTCAAATTCTGTCTCCTTAGATTGACCCATAGTCTTGAGGACTATTCCTTGGCACCATGGCTTCATCAGAAGGCAGGAGGCAGGGAAAACTGGTTGTGCCTTCAGAAAGAACTTGAAGGTGTGCCTTTGTGAGGTGCCAGCTGACAAGATTTTGTTTTTCCCTTGACGTCCTCAATTGCGGGTGGCAACTGACACTTGCATCGGGGGCTGCCTGTTTGCAGTGGGGATGGCTTCACCTGCTTTGGGCTATGATGTTCCCTACTGCTTTCAGACCCCACCCCCCATGTGGATTGTTCAGAAGCACTTTTGCACATGGGTTAACCTAGGTTTCCCACCTTGATAAAAAAAAGACTGCAGTGTCCTCTGGCCACTGAGAAATTACCTGAGGAAAGGAGGTGCAGAGAAATTGTGATACGTTTAAATCTTTTAGATATGCGTTTTCTTCCAGTGTTTCAAACTTCCCTGGTTTCTTCTAGTGATGTTTTTACCTAAGAAAGCAAAAGACAAAGAATTTGATTCTAAGAGCCAGTGTATTGATGGAATCAGCCGCCTGATTTGCACAGCAAAGCATCAACAGAATATGTTGCGGGGTAAGTGCAGTTGTCATGTTCTTGCTTTGAAAGCTAGCCTTGGTTTGCTCTTGAAGTTTTAGATCTGTAGTTCCTTCACAAAGGAAGCTCATCCCTTTGGGGTGTGTTTGGTGGCAATGTACTCTTCAGTTCATTGCTCCTGCTGCTAAGGCAGTGGAAGGAAAAGCAGGAACCCTAGATAGTCATAGATGTTTGTGCATTGGTGAGGCTCCCACCAAAACTCTAAGCTCAGCTATAGAAGATTCTGGAGAGTCCTGCGTAGACACAGAACAATCCCACATGTCTGAGCATACAGATGACAACTTGAAGTATCACAGTTACAGGTGAGCAGCCTGATCATTCATGCACTGCAGTTCAACAAAATGGGGAATAATTGCCACTAAAGCAGGGGAAATAGCTGAAATAACCATTAATGTCCCAAATGACAGCTTAGTGCATTCTTTTATTTACTTTTTGTGCCTGTCGGTGTGTGGGCTATGTGCACGAGGTACATCGTAATGTGGACACAAACACAACACAATGCAAGTGCAGAATAGGAGTATATAATCCCACACAGTTTTTCCCATTACATTTGACTTTACTGTTAATTCATCGTTGCAGTATCTCAGCTTTGACTATTATATTTTCTTTTTTTTTTTTTAACTTAAGCTCTGTAAATTTAAGCAAGTTAAGCAAACACTCACGGGGGCTCTGGTGTGAGGTACAGGGGGCACACTAATGTGTTAATCTGCACCTGTATAGAGGTTTCTGGAATACTGTAGCACTTAAACACATATTCACCAGAACCACCCCCTAGCACACATGGTCCACCCATCCTGGTGATTGCCTCAGTTCCTTTTTGCCGCTGTTGAGATTTCATCTCTCTACAAGCTCTCTGTTCAGAATGTGTTCTTTGTTCAGTTCCTACAGAAGAGAAGTAGTACAGATTTAAAGAAATCATTGAGTGACTTCTTGATTCTTTTTCCTTCTGTCCACCCCTCCCTCCCTTCTGGCCTTTTATGGCCCTCACAGGGCCATTTAAGAGGTGCACTTCATGTTCAAATCAGATTCCCCTCTCCGACGGACATGACTCTTGCCTATTCTATCTGGGAGAATCCCATCAACCAGCTTCTTGCCATTTTTGTAAGAACCTCACAAAACAAGCTCTCAAACTCTGTCAACAGCGACTTAGATCTCTATAGTCCACCATGGACGATACACAAATTTCACAACCTCCTCCTGTTTCTTCTGATATTACCGTCACTTCCCCATCGCCAAAAGCGTTATCATCTAAGCTGAAATCGAAGTCTACTTCTAAGCCAAAGTCCTCGGGATCGACGTCACAGTCAACCCTGTCACCAAAGCTGCCTCTGAAATCGGAACATTCCAAGCCCAAGAAACCGAAAATAAAAACCCTTTACTGTGGGGAAAATTTATGCTGTTATGCTGTTACAATGTATATGTCTGTGGCAGTAGCAAATGTATATCTATGACAATGGCAGGCCTCATGCTAAAATTGCAAGTCACTAGTTTCCAGTAAGGATGATCATTAACCTGCTGTCTATTGTCTCTGGATAATGTAGTTAAAGTGTTCGTGTATTCAGGAACTTGTCTGTGTATTTGGATGGTATCTGTGCCTGTTTACCAGCCTGTCTGTTTACCAACCACTCTGTTTACTGATGCCTGTGTATTCAAGGAAATTAGCTGTCTCTAACTCTGGTTATTCTGTTGTGTATTCAAGAAATTAGTTACCTCTGTATTGATTAACTTGTTCAAAGGTAGGGGATACAATAAACTGAGGGGAGGCCGGATCGAGAAAGAAAGAACTGACACTGAACAGGTGCCTCACGGCAGGCTGTTCTGTATTCATCCGGATCCCATCCTGAAA